GGGGGGGGGGTCTGAATTGAGCGATCAATTATTAGACCCGGACGTCCCAACACTTGCTTCGCAAGACAAACTCAAGGTATCCCCTAAAGGGCTACCTTTCGTGACCTGTTTGTGACGCATTTTCTGGATAGCTCCCAATTCAGAGGCTTCTTTCGCAACCCACCACCACCTACCACCACCAACTGTCTTCGCCGGAACCCCCGGAACCTCTAGAGCGTTCACCGTTCTCCCCCGAGGAGCTCTGCTTCCCCGAGAACTTCGGAGAGACGGTCTCGCCGATGGACTCCTTCTCCTCCAGCACCGCCGCTTGAAAGACCTCCGCCCAGGGAACTCATGGAAAGCGGGGGTGTCGTGTCTCCACCGGGAAGAGACCTGTGGTGCGGGGTGTAGAGTGGTGTGTGGGGCACACCACTTGTGGGGATTTTTGTGTTTATCAGGCTCGTGCACCAGTACGTGGTGCCGATGCCCAAGGGGATGATACACCAACTCGCCGCTCAAAAGAGGCCAATTGTTGTCGCTCAAATCCGCCAAAATCCGCCAAACAGAATGATCTATAGTCAGCCAATTCCAGCGGACATATCTTGTGGACCTCCCATCTTGTGTAGAATGACCGCTGTCTCTCCCTCCCTCCATAGCCTCGAAGCGATGTCGGAGCCACGGTGAAAACTTCTCGATGACCAGCAGAATGGCCAAGCGGGGAATCGACACGGTCTCCACCTGTGACTTCACTCGGACCGTGTATTGATGTAGACCTCGGTGGATGGACGAGCTCGGTCGGACGACCGACCTCCGTGGAGGGAAACATGGTCGGACGACGTAGCTCGGTTCAGTTGAATCGCAGGGAGAGGTCTGATTGAAAGATATGTTCTACCAGGAGCAACCGTGAGTGAAAGAGATCACCTGCCAGTACACAACTAGACTGGGTGTAAGTTAGATCCAGGACTCGGGTCTCTTAGTAGTCTCTAGAAAGGGGTTTCCACTTTGGTCTTTTGGGGGGACACCAAGAAACACAAATTGTATACTAAGCCGGGCTAGGAAGCAAACACGTTTGCTCCAGGTCATCAATGGCGGCCACAAGCAACTCTCAGCAAAGTAGGCTGGAGCTTCGATGGTATAGCAACTGCTTGGCCGATGTTTCTTGTGAATCTCGTCCAGTTTTTTCCTCATCCTCTCACGCCACACGAGCTGGATCAGCATGGCAGCGTGTTTCTGCACCGCATCTTGCCTGGGTCGAGTGCGATGGCTTTCTTCCCCTCAAAGAGAGTCGAGTGGGATGGTTTTCTTCGCATTATATAGTCCGGGTTGTTCCAAATACATCTTCGCAACACCTATTTCCGTCCAATTTCAGTCCTTCTTCATCTGATTTCAGGCATCCGTTTTTGATCCAAGAGGTCTTTTTGTGGCACACCTGTCCAACACGACGGTTTGATCCACCACCCCTCCATGTCTGCTCTTTTCGGAGCCGAGCCAAGCAGAGCAAGCTGACCAGGTCGCTTCCGGAGCTCCGAGAGCCCTCGGAGCAGGTTCTCGTCGTGCCAGCGCTCCACGAATTGGCTCTCCAAGTCATTGGAGCGCGAGCGACCCAGCGAGGTGGACCGTTGCTTCCTGCGGCCACGTCCGGGACCGTTTCCCCGTCCGGCACAGGTCTCGGACGGGCTCGGTACGGGATCGGTACGCTACGACCGAAAGAGGGAGGTGGATCATGTCCATTGGTTAGAAGGTCGGTGCACCATGTCGACCTGGTGGCACACCAATCAGGGGTCCGTCGCTTCGTCCAGGAGTGCGTGGGGCGTGGTCGCCCTGGTCGCCAAGTCCGTTGATCCGGGCTGTAAACTGCTATACGGGTGTTTTCTTGACGCATTGAGGGTCCGGTCCTGGTCCTTGTCGGATGTTGGCTGCCAAAAATCAATCACCTCTCCCTTGTAAAATACTATTACTATTGGGGAGATGGGGTTCAAACGTCTACATACCATTTTTACCTCCTGAATCCTCCGAAGGGAGGATCTCGGTTTCCTTAGCACCATCGGTTTCAAAGGATCCGACGACGCTCCGGTATGCTCCGGTCGCTGTCGCTGGTGGCTCTGGGAGATAGAACAAACGCAGAGAGTTCAGCGTTGGTAACGGGCTGATCTTTGAAGGTCTCTGTCTCTGTCTGCACACAAAACCAGCAAAAACGGGTATACCATACCTCCCTGGGTGAGTTTTCGAAACTCCAAGGCTCTCATGGACTTTTCTCATGGTTTTATCATAAAGCAGTTTGAATGTCCCTGAAATCTCACCTGCTGCTAGTACTCTTAGTGACCAGCGCAGCGCACCCTTCCTTCTTAAACGCAGCGCCCCCATCCTTCCGCCCTCTGCCACCGGAGAAACGGCGGCTCCTGGCTTTCATGCGCTTCACCAAGGAAGAGATCATGTGTCGGAGCAAGGCCCGTCGCTGGCTTGCCAGACCCGGCCCTTCCAGCTCCGCCCAGGCGGGGAGAAAAGCATCCTGGGCCGAGCTTCGAAGATCCGGGTTGGCTTGAGTGCTTGAGTTGGTTGGGGGGCACCAAAGTCAATCTTTCTATCGGAAAACAAGCATTTCCCATGACCAGGGTCCAGTGGGAGCATTGGGATGCTCTCCCCTGTAGACCTACCACACCTCGCAACGGCTCTTCTTTCTTCAAAGCAAATGTCATACTTGGGTTTCTGTCCCCATGTCATATTAGGTTGAACAGACCAAGAAGCCTTCGAAATCCCACTTGCGACACAAAACACAGGGAAACACCCCAATCCCTCACGCTACGAACGGAACAATGTTCGCTACTAGTGCTCCTGGCATCGCTACGAACGGAACAAGGACGCTACTCCGTCGTCGCGACCCCCGATAACGTGACTCGCCTGCTCGTCCTCTTGAGCATCCGCATCGCGATCGTTCCTGGAGAGAAATCAGCGAAGACAACCGCGAGGGTACTGGTACACAATGCTCACATTTGCCCAGCCAAACAAGCTTAGTTTGGAATATGCTTCTCTTCTCATTGCCCTACTCATCTGCAGTTTTCAAAGGCTACTGCTTCACCTCTACTGCCATCCAAATCCCTCCTCACCCAAAAAACGACTCCTCTCCATCCCTCTCGGCTTCGGTCTAAACTCTCCATCCTCCTGCGGAGGACTGCCCGCCGTCGCTTCGCTCGCGACCGCCCGCTTCGCTCGCGCAGGTGGGTGCGCTGGGGTTCACGAGCTCGCTCGCTCCCGTCCTGTAGAGGATGGTGGTTCCGGCCAGCAGGATGAAAATGTCCTGCCGATGGCGACCACGACCGGCGACACCGTCGGCCGCGGATGGTCTGAGTCCAGCGACCGGCGACCGTGATGACCGTCCTCTCCATGTCGCGGCGATCCAGACGTTCGGATCAAACATGTGCCATAAGATGTTCAGAGTCCGACAGTTGCTTCTGCACTAGGGCAGCTGCCCTAAATGGACCACCTTGAACACTCACAAAAAAGAACAGACCCTTTAAAGAGACGCACCAAACAGCTCTAACACACAACACGCCTTCAGCTTCGCTTCCCCAAAGCCTCCCGGCCCTAGGGCAGCCGCTCCTTGACCTCTTCGCCGGCTCGGAAGAGGAAATCCCCGCAGTCGTGGAAGCCCGAGCGGACGCCTCGGGCTTCCGTCCATCGGTCGGAGCGGGTCGGAGGGCCACGTATGTGGGGGGGGGCGAGGGAGGAGGGCACCCCGCTTGAAAGGAAATCCGAGGGGGAGGGGGTTAAGTGGTATGGGTCAAAGCATGGTAGTATCACGTGAAGTATCATAAAGCAACATTTAATATATAGTCGATGCTGAATGAAGACCTATAGAGTCCTAGAGCTTGACTTTGGGGGGGTGCTAGACTACTCGTTATGTCTATATTTTATAGACTCTTCGGGCATTACAAGACGCAAACCCAGATGAAACAGTCTTTCATGGGACACTACTCGGATGGTCGTGGTATATTTGAAGGTACTCTTCCAACAGGAAAAGTCGAGAAGACCCTTCTACCAGCACCTTCCAACAGGTCTCCTAACAGGAGGGTTGGAATTGGCCCTGACAGGTTTCAATTGGTGACTTGTTGGAGGTGCTGGTACAGGACTCCGGGCTCTCTTCTTAAAGTTTGGTGAGATGACTGAAGCTAGTTAGGTGACTGGAGCCTCACTTTTCCCTACCTCCTTTTTTCCCCAAACAGGTTTACCTGTGAGGGGTTCTTACTCCTCTTAAAGGGGTGCATGCTCGGGCCGGATGATTTTGAGTTTGTCTCCGGGCTTGTGTTCCTGGCCGCATGATTTCACCCTTGTCTCCCACTTGTCTCCCAGTAAGCTCTGGATGCTCTGAGTGCTTGGCCGCATGATTTCATACTTGTCTCCCACTTGTCTCCCAGTAAGCTCTGGATGCTCTGAGTGCTTTGGCCGCATGATTTTATACTTGTGTCCCATTTGTCTCCCACTTGTCTCCCAGTAAGCTCTGGATGCTCTCAGTGCTCTGGCCGCATGATTTTATACTTGTCTCCCACTTGTCTCCCAGTAAGCTCTGGATGCTCTCAGTGCTCTGGCCGCATGATTTTATACTTGTCTCCCATTTGTCTCCCACTTGTCTCCCAGTAAGCTCTGGATGCTCTGAGTGCTCTGGCCGCATGATTTCAGACTTGTCTCCCACTTGTCTCCCAGTAGGCTCTCGATGCTCTGAGTGCTCTGGCCGCATGATTTCACACTTGTCTCCCATTTGTCTCCCAGTAAGCTCTGGATGCTCTGAGTTCTCTGCCCGCATGATCTCACACTTGTCTCCCACTTGTCTCCCAGTAAGCTCTGGATGCTCTGAGTCACAACCTGGATCCATAAATTTCATGTTTTAGCCCTTGTACGGCGTCCCATTGTAAAGTCAATGAAAAACAGAATTTTAATGCTTTCCCTTTGAATCTTGTATGTGCGTCTACATGGTGGACTACAGTTTTCTTCCTCTAGGAAATACTGCTGGCCATATTGTTTGGAGATCTCATTTTTGAACATTGCTCTGTTTGGGGTCTACGCTGGTATAATTTTGGTCTATATTTGGAAGTCTGCCACCAAGGACACCCAACAAAAACCCGACTTCCTCCAGTTGAGAACATGGTTTTCGGAAGGGTTTTGACCAGAATACTCCTTCCCACACGAAAAGCGTGGCGCATTCTCCGCCGGGTTCTGGCTTCCACCAGCCAGAACCCCCAACAATCCGTAGGGTTGGGACAGCCACACAGATCAGATTGTGAGCGGACATCGGGGTCACAGATCAGATTGTGAGGCAGCTGGAATTTCCGGGGGTCGCGGAGACAAGGCGGAGGGCGCCGAGCTGCTGGTGGCCAGGCTCTTCACGCAAGCCGTGTGGCCTCTCATCCTTGGAACAGGTGCTGTTCTGCACTTGGCAGCGATGAGATGGGATTGCACAGAGTTCATCTGGTGAGGGCTCTACACCTCCATCCCCCACACCAGATCTGTGGACTGAGCTCGGCGCCATGCCAGGAATGGGGCAGCGTTGAGAACCTCCTGCGTGGCACAAACACACAAACGTGCGGAAAAAGAAACGGGATGGGAGGCGGGGTCAACGTATTTGTTTGGCCTCCACGGTCCAGGACCAGATTGACGCATTCTTTTCCAACACCTGTTCGGACATCCGGAGCGGCCTCCATGTCCGTCTCTCTTTGTACCCAAGCCTCCCCGTCTCGTCGAGGGCCTCGGGTCTACCTGCCTAGCCGTCTCAGCCACTTGGCTGGCGTCCTTGTAGATATGGTAGCAAAGCTCCGATCTGAGGGTGGGCGTCAAGGCCTTTTTCAACTCCTCCTCGTACAAGTCATAGTCCTGGAATCACAAGTCAGAGAGTCATAGTCAAGCCTTCCCTTCCAACCCTTCCAAAAACAATGAACACAACAAGTTGACCAAGGAGCTCTCAATTTGCCAGCATATTTAGATAAAATACTAAAAGGGCTCCTTCTGCGTTCCCCACTTGAACCTCAGCTCAATTCCAAGTCAAGAATTACCTGACGACGTAAGAAGAGCTTGCTATCGAACCCCTACGTCCTATCCGGTCGTGCCCCATCCACCCCATTCCGAAGAAACCCATGGCGACATGCACACCATGCAGCGATGTTGATGCTTGTGCCGCTCAAGTCATGGGAGCGGCAAATCACCTTCAACCAACCACGGAGGACTCCGTCAAGTCATGGAGGACTGTGGCAGATGCCACGATGTCATGCTTCCCATCACCCCCCTCGTGTGATGCTACACCCCCCCCCTCGCATCCGCCCGATAGGTTTCGCACACCGTGGATCCGGGAAACCCGATGGGTGGACGAAGCACTAAACCGGCAGCTCTCATGAAGCACTCGGGTCTTGAACCCCTCGGACCTCAAAAAGAGTTAAAGGTGATCCACTGACTCAAGCAAGGAGGAATGCCTCCGCAAGCAATAGGATGCCGGCGGAGGAATCCGAGTAAAGGGTATAGGAATTCTGTTTTTCTCTCAGCTCTCGCAATCAATGCTTTCCAGGCTGCAGGAAGTACCTCCGCACCTGCATGAGCATAGGCATGCCATAGGCATGACTATGAGTCACTCCACCACAACATCTTCAAGATTTTGCACTAGACCACAGGGGGTTGTCTCTAAAACGATCACCCAACTCCATGGATTTCGCTTCTGTCATCCTTTTTCCTTCCACCCCTTCGCCTTTGGCACCAGTTTTCTTATTTTTCGGTCAATTGGTCTCTTCAACGCCATGGCGTCTCGTTTTCGCGCAGAAAAAACACCGTTTCGCACCTTGCAAAGAAGTGTCTTTGGCACTGCTCGCCACGACATGTACCTGCCGCGCCGCACCGGCGTCGTCGCCGCCACACTGCTGCCATGTGTCACGAAAAGCGGACGTGGGTCGATGCTGAGAATCCTTGGGGGATTTGAGTGTTCTGTGAGGGGAGTTATATACATAGGAATGAGGCCGACAGAACCTCTTCGATGGGTCAAATCTGCTTCTCGATCCTAAACGAATATGAATACTTAATTACTACAACTTACAGAGCTCTCCCTATTGGGAAGGTGAAACTCTTGCACAGCACACGGAAGGTGAAACTGTTGATCCGCCCTTCCATGGACATCAGTTGATGCCATATGTGGTTGATCTCGTCTCAAAATGTCTCCGAAAGAGATCATGTTCTACTTAATAATTGAACCTACCTGCTAGAATCACCGGGATAAACCTCAAATAAATGATGATAAACTCTTCTGCTTTTCTGAAGCTCTCTCGTATTTTTGTTAAAGCCTAAATGTCCTTGTTTCAATCCATTTTCCCCGTGGGTCTCGGTTTCTTCGCCTGGCCAGCTGTCGTTTCTTCGCTGCCACGATGCGGTGTTCCTGCGCACGCGAAGCTCCGCGGAACAATCGCCGGTGAGGGAAAGGAAGAGCAACACCGAGTTCTACATCTCTTCTCACCAGCTTTAATGTCGACTGTTGATGAACCAAACCCCTCATCTCCCGAAATGGTTCTACCAGGTTCTAGATCTCTGTGTGTGGAGGCTTTCCATTCAATAGTGTGCTATAGTCAGTCACTATTAATGGTCTACATTCGACAGCAACAGGCCGATTGTCAAAAATGGAGTCTGCCAAACTTCCTGTCCCAACACTTTGGAAAAAGCCGGTACACTCACCTACTTGGTATTCGGACTTCATGGTCATCCAAAGCTGGCCATGCCATCTTCCACGGACCGAAGAGGGAGCTGTGTCGTTCTCCCATGCCTTCGTTCGATCCGATCCACCAAGGAGTCGAGAGAGCTGTCGTTCCCCTCGATCCGAACCTTGTTCACCGAGGCCACCAAATCGCTCAGCATCCCCAGAAGCCCCGAGAAGATCACGGCGGAGGTCAGGAGCAGCAGCAAGACCCAGCGACACTCCTCCGTCGTCCTGAGAGGACTGAGTTGGAACGTGTTAAAACGCTTTTCAACATCGTATTTTTAGCCTTTCCCATCTTCCGGAGGACATCTTTTGTAAAAACATGTATTCTGATAGAGCCACTGAGAGGTCCTTTTGACACATGCATGGCATGCACATCCATCGTCCATCTCTGGGTTGATACTGTTAACACATCTCAGAACTCATGTATGTAGGAAAAATGTTTTTATCCCTACCGGTGATTCTTTAGTACTTATTCCATTTAGACACCAATAACAAGCGCAATTGCCTCTGACTGCAGTGAAGTACCGCAATCGACCTCATCGCTTGACCAACGCTCGACCTTACTAAACCAAGCTGCACTGGTGTGATGTCACCTGGGCAATGGCACCAGGGGCTGTGACCTATGTCCTTCAACCAGGCGTCTCTAAACGGATCGGGTTCGCAAATTGCTTCTGCTTTACGATTTCTGCGGAGGCAGGCCATGAGGTCGGCACAGGACGTTGCCAAGCTGGCACTGCGAACTGAAAAGACCCGGGAAAAAACACCATGCTAGGTGCGGGCTCCAGGTTCAGCAATACATTTCAACACATTTCATAGCAGTTTGGTGTGTGTCGTGTTCGTTTTCTGCATACCAAATGGGTGGAATAAAAGCCGACCCGGCGCCGGACCACGCGCTCGCGAGAAAATCCACTCCGGGCGGCCGTAGCCCACGGTGGTCAAGGTGGTCAAGGTGAAGTACAACGACCAGGTATACCTTGGGTGCAAACTTGGGAGTGGGGCACGCAAACCGGTGACCCCCTCAAGCAGGAAGAAGAACTTCAGGTTTAGTCGTGTTCAAGTGGGTTTTGTAGATGAGACACCTACGTCTGGACAAAGACTGCAACAGTGAGACAAGTGACCGACCTCATGCTCGACCGACTCTGTGAGTTGGCCATCCATTTCTCCAGTCGCCCAATCAACCCATCTGGAGGTTTTGTTTGCTGATCATTATTGTCTGATCATCTAGTTTTCTCATCGAGGTTTTGCATATTTGATCCACCTTGATCCACGTACTTCCTTTCAGTCGGCTTTTGCCACTGAAACCGAGGCTGAACAGGACTCTGAGACGGGTCGGTTCTTCACCGGTACAGCGTAGCGAAGCGCATGTTCGGAACTGCTCCGGTTTTCTTCCATCAGGTTTCATAGGCCCGGGATGGTGAATCACAACTATTCCATCAACTATCAACTAGGAGCCCCTGACCATCATCAACTAGGCCAACCCCCTGGCCCTATATGGCGAGTTTAATAGCTGAAGGACGACATACATGGACCCTGAGAATTCACCGGAAGATCCATGATTCCTCTACCACCCGGTGGGGCGGAAATTCCGATGTTCGTCTGCCACGCCACGACAGTTCGACTATTCGGACCCTTCGGAACCCCGAAGTGCGCCATGGAAAAGCCATGGTTCCGAGCGAAGACCTTGTTCTCGTTCCCTCTGTAATCCTGTTACCAGTTCTCTGCGCTTGGTGATAGATGCTTTTCAAAGCAGCTTGGCAGTAAGGGAGGGACGAATCAGTAGCACAACAACATCCTGTTTGAATCAGTGTTTTGATGTGTGGACATTGCCATGCTTCCTATGTGAGACCAGTCTCTGAGCTTTCCAACTTGGTACTTGGCACATGGAGTGACCCTGCTGTGACCCTGCCAGTCCTCTTCCAATTCTGCCACCCAGCCACCCTTGGCTGTTTGCGTCGAAAGCAATTCGGCTCAACACGAAATCGAGGGGCACCATCTGATTCATTCATTCTTCAGCAGGCAATCATCCAACACAACTTGCGGCCAGGCGCTTGCTGCGAGCCCACCGCGTGCCAAAAGCAGGCGCCCCAATGAGCTACAGCGCTGAGCAGCAGAAGCACCTGATGAGGACAGGAAAGACAAAGGAAGACCCGGGCATTTCAGACTTGGAACACATTTTTGGCATGTAAGGTGCTGATGTTGTGAGGTCTAGAGGTACATGCACTACCAGGTCCACGTATGTTGGGATGTCCAACGAGGATCAAATCCAATGTATTGAAATGGGGACGGATAAATACCCAGACACTCCATGTATGCCGATCAGTTGGCGGGGTTGACTGGGGGTCAATGGGGCGGCATACATGGCAGTCCCATGGAGTGTCTGGGATATGGGGATGGATGGATGGATGGATAAAACCTGATCAAAACTCCTTCTAGCGAACAGCCCGGTCGCTTCACCGACCAGCTGCCATGACCGACCTACGTCTTCCGAAGGTCTTCCGGAAGAGAGGTGCCTGGAAGAAGGATGTCACAAGAAAACTAGGGGTTTACGGTTTCCCTTGTCCTCCCTACACACCTGAGCTGAAAACACCGTAGTGAGTGGGGCAGTGAAGCTGGGGGTTCTCTACCTTGAAGCGGTTCTCCATGTTCACCCCTTGAGCGTCCCCCCGAAAGCGTGGTCCCCGGCATCTAAGCAAGCCAAGACCACCGGACTTGCGGAGCCTCTGTGGAGTCACCTTAACAAAGCCGTTTCGACCAAAAAGAACCTGTGCGGCGCCGTTCGTGGCCTTGCCAAAGCCCATGAAGAGCTCGGCTGCGTAGTTCCCTTCCAAGTAGGTCTCAGCCGCCCTGGGCACGAAGCACACCCTTCGAAGCAGCACAAATGACCTGAAAATCTGGAGATGCAGTGTGGCCCCCCAAGGTTTCCAACATGAATCTCAGTTCTGACACTTTGGGATAGTGCATCTCCAGAAACGGCCTTCTTCCATGGATCCGACCGCATGTGCAATCACTCAAACCTTCTCCACAGTTCTGACCTCACACATGCGTGACACCCCCCAGCAGCTCCAAGACCTGCACAGTCACTCTAGTCGCTTCGCCCATCGACACTCCAAGCTGCTCGGTGATCTGTCGCAGCCTGCGGATCGCGCGACGACAGCGCGCGACAGGGCGCAGGGCAACGAAGGAACACCCGGAATGGTCTGGGCCCTAGGCAGGCAAGCTAGGCCTCTTAAATGCTCCGGATGTGAGGGGCAAAACACTTTTCTCCAATGATGCTTTCGTGTTCAGATGCTTTCAATCCTCCCTTCAATCCGCAGAACTTCACCCTTCCCCACTTTCTCCCCTTTCCCGTTCTCCGCGCGCTCCGAACTCCGAACGGCCAAGGCGCTTGGCGAGTCGCAGGAGCCGCGCCAGGCGGATCAGTCGCACGACTTTCAATCCACGCGTCACCTGTGCCGCGTGGCGAGTTCATGCCCAGTTGGACTGTCCACTTTGCACTGTTCAGTGAACACGCGACGGCCGACGTCGGCCATGTTCCACGCCGTGGCGCTTTTCCGGCGGTTTTTGGTCGAAGGGGGGTGCCGAGGGGTGCCACATGGTGGGTCGGTACCAGCCGACGTCTCTTGGAACGGTGCTTTTCCGATCCTTTGGACATGGACGGCGTTCCACCCCTAACAGTCGAGCACTGTCAGGTGCTGAGGAGCGGGTTCCACCGTGACCATCTCACCCTCCTTTCTCGCCTGCGCCACAGAGCTGTCGCCAATCCATGTCCATGGAATTGCTGCCACGGCGTCCAAGAGAAACCATCCTGGCAAGAAAGCACGTGCACACCTGCGACCCACTGCCTGCGACTCACTGTGTGTGACCTGTGTTTTATGAAGTGTGAATACATCCGTTTGTGTGGACGCTTTATGTTGTTTTTTCCCATGCAGAACTGGACCAGGCAATGCAGAAATCTGCTGTCTCGACGACGTGAAGAACGGGGGTCCCTTGGTTTGGACGTCGCGCGGGTTCCGCGCCCGCGCCACGCCTACCAGGTAATGCTTCACCTCAGTGAGCGATTCTCGCCATGTGAAGCCTCTTTTCAAGCATTTCAAAGCTGACAAGAGCGAGGGCAGGAGCTACTAGTAGCAAGAAGCTACTATAGTAGCTCCTGGCCGTACTACTAGTAGCAAGAAGCTACTATCGCTACTATAGTCACAAGGGCATCTCTACTAGTACTTGATGGAGAACATCTTGTTGTATCACTGGGCAGTCTGAATTTGAGTGGGATGTGAGGCGGTGCTAATTCTCGGATCACATGGGTGTAGACCGAAGCCATTTAGAGTACCTTCCTTTTTCCTGTCATGCACTGCTCATCATGAACGATTCCTAGCGATATGCAGCGGTTTAGTGTATTAATGCAGTCTTCTGTCTTCTTACCAAGTTTTGCCCACCCCTCACCTCATCCAAATAACCTTGCAAACATCACCCACTGGGTTTCCAGGCGATCTTGCCAGGAACGGAGACCAGGTTCCCACGTGAGTCTCGGTAGCCTGGCGAAGGCAGAGGCGCAAAAGGCGACCACCGCGGCCGCTCCGAGCAGCGAGACGGCGGTGCGATGCGAGGACAAGCTGGAGCACCGGTGAAAGGCGCCTGTGAGACAGGTCACGATGATGTCCAAAAGGAAATACCTTTCAGAGATCAAGTGGCACGCACTTTTCTGCTCTACCCGCTTTGCAGAGACAGATCTGCAAGTGTGGCGTGTCTTTGATGGAATATGGACCCGTGTTCTTAAGTGAAGGGCATCAGTTGGAAAGGCCAAAGAGAGTTTCTGACCTGGGAAAAAACACATGAATTGGAGAGGAGAATTATATGTATTTGACCGCACTTGACAGCAAACATCAGTAGCTGCTGAACACTGACATCTCCCAGGCCAAAACACCATGTGATATGGCTTGATCATGCTTGACCTCTCTGGCCGAAAAACGAAAAACGACCGAAGAACGAAAGGAACGCAGCCTTTCTGACTTCTTGGTATTCGGCAAATGAAGCTATGACAAGCTATGAGTTCGGTGTTTCCTCCGGATCCCGAAGAACCGCTCATCGGTTCTGACACCACCGCGGATCAGGGGGCAAGTCCACCACACGGAAGGCGATGCCGAGGAAGGGTTCGTCATCGGGCTCCACACCGAAGGCTAACATGAAGGGCACCAAGAAGGCCTTTGAGGACGGCCACTGAGGACTTCTTCTTCTTCAGGAGGGTGAAGTGCATGTGGCAGTTGGTGGGAGAGCTTTCTATCATGGCTGTCTAGGAGAGCTTTCTAGCATCCTATATTATCCTATCATAGCAACATCCTTCAGGTTGGACATTTTGACCCAACGTCGTGAGCGAAGCATCTCCAGTTCTGAATGGCTCCCCTCGTTCAACTGAGGCCTTGAAGCTGAAACTGCTGGTTTCGTGTCGCCAACACCGGTGACCGTGTCGCCTCGGCCAGCACGAAGACAAAGGCCGGTGTGAGCCACACCAGGCGTGGAGGTCCTTCCGGATGAAGGACCGGCCAGAAACCCAGGCAGCTACACGGCCTGACGGAACGTGCCAGAATCGGAGCACCCACCCAGCTCGGTGATCGAGCCGCGGAACATGGGGAGGGCTGCGGGCTGCGGGCTCCCTGGAAGATTCACGGTCTTTTGGACTCTCTTGGGGGGATAAGTGTTTTCTTTTAAAGAAGAGAAGCGCGTCCATACTCAGAAAAAGATGAGTTTTTCAATCTCAATCCGTTGTTCTGATGATGGATGATGTGCAAAGCAACACCAAGTGGAAAACCATAGACGGAGACAGGGCCCCGTTGTTCTGCACCCCCAGAGATCGGGATGACAGATTCGCGAGATGGATGACACGGGTCTTCGTCTTTAGGCTGCGAAAGGGTAGTAATGATGCGAGTTCACATGTCAATAGACGGCCTTTGGACTAGCCATGTGTACAAGTACTGATCTCGGGTAGTATTGATGCTAGTGATGCAATCTCATCACCTTGCATCGTTTGCAATCCTTATTACTTTGCATCGTTTGCATCACCAAGCCACCACGAATCATCTCCGTGGAAAAGCAAAAACGCCAGCAGGCCAACGTGGTTTACGTCACTTTTTCCCTGTCTTCCCCCCACACCCATGAAAAACGAACTTCATTCGCAGCATCGTATATTCTATATATCTAGGACGATTCCAAAACCCCTTGAACACCCTGAAGCAAATGGTTCACACAACCTTCACGGTGCTCTGATCCCATTCGACTTTCTTTTCAGACGCGGATGCTGCTATTGACACATGCGAGCTATGTTCATTGACTTCCAAAAGAACCGCCGAAGCCGCGGTAGCAGGATACACTGATGCATCGCCAAACCGAGGACTGGCCTCTCCCAAATGATGGCACGAGAATGCTCTTCCTCGGCTGTCAGACCCTGCACGTCTGGCCATCGAATTCCCCTTTCACTTTTGGTCAGAAAAAGGGTGGAAGATCAACCACTATTTTGGACATGCATCGCTAAACAGTTCATGAAGCGACCAATCATGAAGCATCATATGTGCGGCGGCATTTATTTGGTACGAAACTCAATTACACTATCTATTATGTGTGGGCCCTATCTCGTTTAGACTACTTAAGTAGGTCATGTCACAGTATCTCGTTCAGACTACTTTAGTAGCAGCAAATCACACTATCTCGTTCAGACTACTTTGGTGTCATCAAGCAAAATTATCTCGTTTATGCGGGGGCCCTATCTCGTTCACAAGCGAATACTGATGATAGACAAGCAAATAGAGTATGCCGTAGATTCCTTTGGTAACTTTAGTAAAGCCTAAATAAAAGTGGTTGCTCACATGTCACCTGACAATTTCTCAGCCGCGGCAAGCAGCCTTTGGATCAGCCAATACCATGAACCGCTTTCGCTTGGACTCAGTTTCGGACGTCCGGTGAACGCGCCCTTGAACCGAAAGGGGGGGACCCTGTTGTTGTCACCAACGAACTGTTTAAAACCCTCAAGCTACGGTCTCAACAGTCTTAACACGTCTTTAACACATGAAATATCCAACACCGAAATACGAAATGAACCACACAGCTGTGGTGAAGTCCCCAACACGTGAATTCCCTCGGTTTTTGACGCGTGGCGAACGCTAAAACATGACATTTCATGCCTTGACACGTCCTTCCCAAGCTGCCCCTGCTTCATCCTCACGGCTTTGCCCCAAGATGCTGACTCCAAGAAGAGGCCGGAGGTACCCATTCGCAAGGAGCCGGCTCTGGGAACCTCCGGCGTGGAACCGGCGGAACGCCTGCTTTTCAGACATCTTCCAAGGCACCAAAGCCATCCAGCAGGCGACCCGAACTCGGCCCCGAAGCAACTGCTACATGGACAGGTTCGGTCCAAAACGTCTGTGCCAGTGAGGGTGAAAGCTCCAAACGAACTGAGGGTCCAAGACTTGTTTTGGTTGGGAGGATAGGTTGGGACACCTCCGCCCTCCCTTCCAAAATCGACTCGTGCACTCGTGCGCAGTGCACATCCTTGTAAGACGAAGCTTGGATCCCTTGCCATGGATCTCGATCCCAGATGATCCCGGTGGACAGTACCTTTGGCCCAACGTCGCATCAACACCTCCATCGCCAGCCGCCGGGTCCTTTTTGGGGCGGGACAGTCCCTCTGGAACATCTGGCCAGTCTCTGCCGACAAACCGGTTTGACCGAAGGTTTCTGGTCCTCAAGAGAGCCAGTGAAGGGCTTCAGAACCGCGCGCGCGCGAAAACGCCCTCCTCCGTCCAAGCCGAGTCACTCGGCCCTTGGAATCTGGACTCTTTCCGGCAAAGGCCCGCTGCGCCTCAGCCCAGGGTCCCACATCCACACAAAAACTGTAGCGGCTAGACATGCTTCAGACTCTACCAACGTTGAGAATGGATGACACCAAGCTGCAGTGACAAGCTGCAAAGAAGACCTGTACTACCACGAAGAAGGTCCGACCAAATTCTTTCCAACCTTTCAACCTTTCCGACGGGCGGCGGGACCTCGCGGAGACGGCGGGATTCTCCAGTTGGTGGAGACAAACACTGGCCACATCCCAGCTCTTCCTCTGCATCAAGTCAAGTTTCGGCTACAATTCAGTGTTAGGCAAAAAACTGCCAAACAATTACACCACCGTAGACCTCAAACAGAAAGAATTGAGAACCCCTGAACAGTAAACTGTTTGGGGAATAAACCTATCTAAACCCGAAATCCTGTGCCGCACACTCCTCGCGTCCACTCCGCCCTGCGGCCCCCGGCGGCAGTGTCATGTGGATGGGTCGTCGTGCGGCCAAGCTCCATGCTCAAAGCCAAGGAGCCGGTCCTCGGTCGAACTGGAGTGCATCGCTTTTGGGGTCCGAGGGCGGGTGGGGTGGAGTGCTGGGTGCTGTGAACAGTGGGCTGGATTAGGCGTGTGTACCTCATGTGATGTTCTTGCTGCATTTGGTTTTTTCTCAAACCTACAAGTTGGACCTTCATCCAAGACCTCTTGGAGGCTTCCTGGTCCCTAGAAGTGCAAAGACTATATTTCGCACCACCCAAGTAAAGGAACTTCGTCTTCGGGTCACCTAAAAGCCATTTGCTTTGAGTCTTGGACTCGCCAGGCATCTGGTCATTCACTCGAGGAATTGAGTTCGACCTTTGTCACGAACCGCCGCTGAGTTCGAACCTTCACCGGCTCGGAGCCGAACAAGTCGTTGGCTCCGAGCGACGTCGTCCTCGGCAGTGTCTCGGTCTTCTCACCACCTGCCTGTGGCGTCGCTCAGAAGAGGGAGCGCGGAGCAGCTCGCTCCATGCTCCGCATCGGTCGAGTCGACTCGGGGCGATGGTGGAAGGATTTCTTCGGTTGGATCGTCAGATGTTTTGTTCGTCTTCACTTGAAGGTGAAAGAAAAAGATATTCAGATCTGCATCAACGTTTGGAATGTTCTAGGCCTGGAACACAGGTGCAGTCTTCAAATGGTGGCATGTTTGACAAAAGGATCGACTGGGAAGACCTATTCTCTCCATTTCTCAGGATTTTATTGCTCCTCATGTGCAGGGTGGTTGAGACATTTGACATCATTCGACCAATTGGTCTGATGCAAAATGAGAAGATCCGGCAAATCCTCCAGCTCTCCTGCAAAAAAACAGGACATGGCTCAAACAAAGGCATCTGCGAGTGGGAATGAATGGAAAGTGGACTAATTGCGTCCCATTATGAACTAACTTCTCCTTCAAGACTTTTTCATCTCGTTGGCTCTTGTGCACCGTGCCGTGGTCCTTTTCCCTTTCTATCCGCCGGTGAATGCGGCCACCAACGCGTGGCTCCAAAAAGGACACGTGTCTCTACCTCTCCCCAAAGATAAGGACAAGAAGGGCTCACCGTGGGTAACACCACGGGCTCGTCGTTCCTGTCTGCAGCGCCTGAGCAATGAGCTCCAGCAGATCGTTCCTGGCGCCCCGAGCGGAACCGAGGACGCCGGTCACGACGGGAACGGACGACCAGTCGACGGGATCGGAGTCGCAGGTTGTGTCTAACACACCGATGAAGCGAATGGATGCGAATGGGCCCAGCGGGTTTGACGCAGGGCGAAGCGGGGGAAGCCTTTGGGCGGGGAAGAAACGGGCGAACGGGGCGAACGGGGGGGTTCGGAGGTGGTTGAGGAGTTGATATCAGTTGGCGTCTGGACTGCCCCGCTACTAGACTGGGCTCCCATACCCCCACCACAAACATCCACAAACAAAAACGCAGAGCTCCAAGGACATCGTCGAGCAACAGCCGAGCCATCAAGGAGGCCACCAATCTGTAGATTTGTGCAGCTGGGATGGCTGGGAGATGGCTGGGACTTCAAGGGATGGCTTGTTTGGCCCATGGCATCTGTCTTTGTATACTGCGTGCTGCATGTTGCCTAACCAGCTCTGCTCCAGCTCTGCAAGTGAATCGATCAGCGCGAAGAGGTCAAAACCCGGTCTATCGAATGTGAACATTAGCGAACAATGGCATTGCTTCTGTCTGTTGGTAGGGATGGGCTACAATGTTGTCTCTTGAAGATACCGTTCTGTCGGCTTGGAGGGTCCAGTCGTACCTAAGCTGAGAAGGTACGACTGGATCCCTAGAGATTGATTTAGCAGGAACACAACTTGGATGGCAAGTAGTCCTCATCGCTTTACAAGGGAACGACCTGGAAGAGCTTTGCGATGCATGCTCATCTCGCTCTTTTCCCGTCCTCACGGCGCTCACATCCTTCTCGACTTTTTCCAAAGCTTGGACATGTTCCTGCACGAGGTTCTGAGTGGAGAGAGGAGGGTGGAGGACAACGACAGAAGCCCTGCGAAAGAAAAAGAGCTACTGAGAACGACCAACGTCTCGTTACGTATCTTGGATCCTTCGCTCAAAGGGGTCTGGCTGGAAAGGCGAACACTGTTCCGCTGCAGAAATGCATGATCAAGCAAAGGACGCAACACTGTGCGTCCCACATCTCCACTGAACATGCAAATCCCTTCCTGTCTTCCATTGAGTAAGATATTTAAGATAGAGCAACAAAAAACACAGGATGCTGTGGGTGCAAACCGGGCGTGGGTAGAGATCGGTCTAATGTCTCGCAGGGGGTGTCTGAGACTGGGGAACGTCATGCACGCAGCATGAAAAGGGTTCCGTTGACCAGGTTTTGTAGTGTAAACTTGTAGCAAAAACGATGGCTAAACAGCTCTTAAGGAGGAACAAGGTCAACTACAGCAACTTGAGAATCCCCAGTTGCTGTGGTTGCTTCTCTGGATTGCCGAAATGAGAACCCCCGGTGATCACCGGACCCGGACGAGGTCGGGGTCCGGACGTTCTGCCAAGAGCGTTCTGCGAGCCCCCGTACGGGAGGAGTCGATCGGGTGGACCCCGCGAAGCTCGATCGTGGCACCTCCAAGGCGGTGACCTCGGGCATCCGCAGCCTTGGCACGTCCGGGTCCGGTGTCTTTCAGATGTCGTCAGGGACGGCGGTTCGTCGGCGACGGTTCGGCGGGGTGAATGTCGCACTCTAGCTGGGTCGAAGAAACCGATTCAAACTGGGCCTGTGTAGAAAAATTGCTGAAGTCTTGGAACGCTTTCTGAAGGCAAAGTAGCTTGGAACGGTGCTCTAAGTGTAATTCCTCACACCCAAGTTGCAGCAGAACCATGCAGAACCCCAAACCACCCCCGGCAGTTGACACGAAGTGACCATCCTCGTCCTCTTCGCCCACCCCTTCGCCCACGTTCCCGTCCCCTCTGTCATGTTCCACCGCCGCCCAGCCGCAAGCGATTTCGAAAGTGGAACGCGGAGGCGGAGGCTTCATGCGTGGTCTCTTTGGACTCACCTGGGAAGAAGGATTCGGATTCGAGATGAAGGATGGATGAAGGATCGGGAAGGGGGGCGCACAATGGAGGCAGGAGGGTGGATTCGTTGGGAACACCCGACTCGCATGTCTTGGAGATGTTTTGGACCCAAAAATCACCCAACCTTCACCATTGCTCCGTTCGTAGCGAACCTTGTTCCTAGTAAGGCCAGGAGCGCTACGTTTGTAGCGTCCGATCGCTCCGTTCGTAGCGATGCCCAGACTGCTCCGTTCGTAGCGAACCTGGTTCCTAGAAGGTATGCCGTGAAAGACTTGTGTGAAGGAAAATCACACCAAGAAGGTGAAAATCACACCAAACCTTCTAGGTATTTTCTGTGTGAAGGCTTCATGAGCTTCGAAAACCACCAAATCACCTGGCCTACGCCGTCCGACTTGGTCTCGATGTCCGAACGGCGTCGCACGACACGACACGGGGGTCTGGTTCGCTTCCTTCGTTGAGGCGTCTCACTGAATCTGTGCAGCACCATGGCGCCAGGGCCGTTCCCGGTCGTTCGCACGGTACGTGTTCCGACGTCGTCGTCACTTGCCACGTGTCCCCATCTCTTTGATGGTCCTCATCTGGAACGATTTTTTTCACTCTGTCTCCATTCTCCTTTTTTTCTGGCAGGTCTCATCTGCTGTGCAGAAGAAGAGCTTCGGCACACGAAGAAGGGGTGTCCTGAGCTTGATTAGTCAGTGTCCTGCTCTACCTTCGCACATTTCTTCTGGTCATTTGAACATATTCCAGAAGCATGATCTTTGATGCTCTTGGTCTTTCTCGCTTGAGCCTATACAAGGCCAATCATCTCGACTGATACATCTGTGGCCCAGTGGTTCATCTCACATGACTGTCTGGGCCTACAAAAACTGTCGCATCAATTATCGCGACCCACGTTTTCGCGAGCGTCGTGACCCACGTTTTCGCAGGACATCCAGCTTGTCCGTCTTTCTCCCAGCTGAGGCGAACCACCAAGGCGACGTGACCGAAACACCAAGGCGGTTGGCTGAGCACCCCAGGTTTTACAAAGACTCCGCCCTGCACCTATCAGGTCACATCCCGTCAGCTGCTCCAGCGAAAGGCCTCTTTCTCATCGCATCGTCGGGCGTCGCGCGGCCAGGCAGATCTCTAAGCGGTCACAAGACCCAAGCTGCGTTCCAGCTGACCTCATCGACTAGACATGACTGGACACATAGCTGGGAGGGCAAAGACCATGTGTACGCCGTGCCATCGAACTTGGAAGGAAAGTCAACTGTTCGCTCGCTTTGAGACAATTGTCTCGCAAACACAACTCCCAGCACTACCCGGTTCGGGTGGTTTATAGAAACCCCCCTGAAGACGTCTTTTCCGAAGAACCACCCGAAATGGGTGGTGCTGGTCCTTTCTTCTCAGAGTTTTCTTGTTTCGTTCTCCGCTCTGTTCAGTTGCCAGGTACCCCACCCCCCAGCCCCTCACACCCCCCACCCTCGCGTGGTGTCCGAGTCGACGCCGCCCAGGAGCTCAGCAAGACGGTCTTGCGCTGAAGCTCCGCCTTTAGGGTGCCCAACCTCAAACGACCCGAACTGAATGGCCCAAAGGACGGCGTGGAGCCTTAAGGACAGACAAAAGCAAGGCAAAAACCACAGATTGATGTACCTGTTAGTTTTTCGGTTTTCTTCTTTTTCCCCAGCGAGTAACTCGGGAAGGTTGGTGTGCGAAAGGCTAGCAGCTTCAGGAAATGAGCCACCCGCCCACTCAAACTGCTGGAGATTGTGAGTTCTGCAATGTCCGAAGCACTTGGGGGATGACGAAGGACTTGGCTCTACTGAGCTCGGTCGTTGGGTGGAAACCTACGGGCATCTTTCGGTCGGGGGGCACTCAATTTCCATGGGTGTGTTTAGTAAAACAAACCGTTCAAACGTTCGCCCTTGACACGGAAGCTTCAACATCAACAGCGGAACTAGATCGATAAACTTTCTGGGGAAAGGTTTCACTGGATTCAGGGGAAGATGGGTGATGTTTCAGGCATCTTCGCAGTTGGGTCTGTGATTACAAACACATACGGGGACCCAAATGGTGTGTGCTCCACTTCTCTGAGAGCCGAGCTCTTGTCCCCAGCTTCCGCCTTGCCTGAAAAGCTTGGTACACAGAACTCGTCCAATACGAGGATGGAACTGCTCATGGAGAATCTTTTACAAAACAATTTGGATTGAACCGTCTCAATTTACATATATGGGGGTTTTATTACTCAAAGGTCCACATTACCACTACTAAATACTGATATACTGATCCTAACTGAATGTTAAGCACCAGCAGCACCTGTCCAAGAGGTGGATTTGGACAAGAGCTCCTTGGAAATCACTCTTCCGTTATCAAATCAAAACGGGAGCTTTCTCCAGGCACACTCGAAAAGCGGGATCCTACTGGTTTTGAACTATATGCTCTTTTCAAAAATTCCCTGCTGGCGGGGTTTCTCTTTTGCCAACCCTTCCGTTCTCTCTCCACTGTGCAGGACGATTTCTCGCAGACACGTAGCCTCCGGAGCAGCTGTTCTTCCACGCTGGCACTCCTCCGCTCCAGGTCCTCGCAACGAGCGCCGTCAGATGCGACACGACGTCGCAGGTCCCAGGCGTCGAAGCAGGTCAAAATGCAACACATATACGGCATGATGATGGTATGTGATGTTGCTGTTGATGTTGATGATTGTGTTGATGTTGATGATGTTGACAATGCGGATGATGTTGATGATGAAAGGTTGATAATGCTGCTGCTGCTGATGATGATGATGATGATGATAATGATGTCGGTGATGATGATAAAACAAATCATGGAACAGGCAATATCTTTTCATGCTCCACCTCAAGAAGCTTGGATATGTGTGGATTTGAATGTCCCTTCCAAAGAACCTCGCTTTTTGAACCTTGCCATACCCTCCCCGCCTCACAGCGCAGCTGGGCAGCGACCATCGCCTGAGAGGCAACCATCGCCACTTCTATTTCAACAGTCTTCTTTTTTCCACATGATTTCAAGACTCAAGACTCAGAGCGTTACTGATTGTATATAGTGTTCTCCTTCTGCCATCAGCAGAGGGGGATGACTACCCAAAAAAACTCTCACAGATTCATGCACACCAATCAAAGCATATCAAATCCAATGGTCAATTCGCGTTGAACAATGTTGAACAACATCCTCCAGCTGCAGAGACCTCCTGTTCTTTGGAGCGTCCGCCAATTCCAGTCGGAGACGAAGCCGGGCACGTCCATGCGGAGCGCACGCGCCCAGCAAGTCGGTTTTGGGTCATGAATTGTCATGAAAGTCTCCCCCCCGAATTGAAGAAATCATATACCTCAATGACCTCATGCAGACACATTAGTCAAGTGTTGAGAAAAACCCATCCACATTCCCATGTGAATCCTCGTGCAGTGTTCCACTTCCATCTGAGAACCTCACCTGAACAGCATCATCCAGCACGTTTCGACCTCGACTCGGATTCGTCACGTTTCGTGGCGAAGCGATGCACATCTTAGAGCTACAAACCTCGAACGCCACGGAAGGCCTTCCGGGTGAAAACAAAGACCGCAAGGCACACATCATCACACATTCACCTATGATGATATGCCAAAGATGTTGGTGTGTTGCTGTTCATCTCATACAACAGAGCTGGGTCTGGCTCGCTGAGCTGGGTCACTGACCTTCGCTCTCCACCGGATCTGGGCTTTCGCGGCGCACGTGGAGCGGCGCAGCTTCTCCCGACGTCCGCGGCGCACGCGGCGCCACGTCCGACACCACGCGGACGCTGCGCCGGGCGGGCGGCCCGTCAGGCGCGGCGGCTCTCCTGGGCGGACGAAACGACGTGAAGTGAAAGAAGCGAAATGAACGGTCCAGCTATGCAAGAAACATCATGGAAGTTCACCAACTGTTTGGTGATGTCTTTCTTGCACATGGCCATGGCATCCATGTAACCATGGCGATTTCTTGTGATTTGGATCGGGCAACATCTCACATCGGACGCGATTTCACCAATGGGCCGGAATATCATGCCGAGGAGCTGCAAGCGACTCACCTCACTTAAGAGCTCCATCACCCTTTGCGTCCTGCAGCAAACAGCGTGGCCAACACGACGCATCTCAGGAGTGGAGCGGTTCACCTCACGTCACACTGGGGATGGCCGTGATTTCCCACACCATGCACAGATTCACATGCATGTCTCGCAGCCTTACAAAAAGAGTGAACGAATGGCCAAAAGCCGTCCTGCGAAATACATCCATGGTCTCCTCTCACCGGGTTTTTTCCCCTTGGCACTTGGCACCCCTTCTTTTGGAGTCCTTTCAGTCCCCAACAAACCCACCCGCCCCGCCGCCCCGCCCGACCGCCCGCTCCGTTGGTAGACCTTCGAAGCGAGCGTCTCGACCAAGCGAGACTCCTGGCGGAGCGACTGCCGAGGCACTGGTGATTGCAGGGCCAGACTGCCTGCACCAGTGTACCAGCAGGGGCCTGGTTGGGTCACTTTTTTGTTGTTCCATCCCCAAACTTGGGGGAAAACCCTGAAAGAAAAGGTTCAGATGTTCATTTCCACCGGAACATGCTACCGAGAATCCTGCCGAGAGTTGGAAGACCGGTTTGTATTGGAATATAGGAAGACCTTCCCTCAATTGCAGTCAACTGGGTAGCAGCATGGTGAATCTTCTGCACCATCCCGGGAACCTTGAGCTTCCTGCTCTCGATATTTTCTATGCTCTCTCGTGTCGAGGTGGCTTTTTGCAGGACCCAACGCCCTGCAGTGCTCAGAACATCACTTTCACCGGAACTCGTGGCAGGTGTATGCATACATCATACTGCCATTCCTTCCCTGAACCCATGTTTTGACAGAGGCTTGTCACTTACGAAGTGACAGTGCGTACTGCATGATGTCCTTTTGCAACAGCCAAATCCCCAAATTCCATGACTGTTGTGCAGGAGATCACCTTTCCATTATCTTTCAAGTTCCCTTTCATTTTTCGCTGGAAATACACCTGCATCACCTTGCATCCATATGCCCACGTCTGAACTTTCTTCAGGTTGAGAGGAGAAACATGGATCGAACAAGGAAACTCTGTCTTTCTGTTCGGAAGGTGCTTTTGTTAGCCACATACCACCGGTGCTGCCTCGGATTCGGAAGCCGGTTCCGCTGGTTCCGCCGGTTGCCACCTGGAGCGCCACGGTTGCGCAGTCGTAAGAACGCCCTCTCCTCTGGGACTTCGGCTTCATCCCTTGGCCTGGGCCTGCGCACAGAGATTTGAGCAGAAAAAGACGTCAGAAACAAGGCGCTACCTAGTAAGAAGGGAATTACATGTAATGAGTCTAGTCTACAGGGCAATAGGTGAAGTGCAATAGGGGTCGATTTGGAGAAAACCCTTCGAAAGCTCCGCCTGACCGCGAAGAAAAAGAGTGTGGGCTCGGTGGGGTGGGCCGTGCTGTTGAGAAAAACCACCGAAGCAGAAGGCACCCCTTTGGGGGGACACAACCGGCGGTCCGCATGTTGTGCGGGTCTCTTCAAAGCAGTGTGATCGACATGGACCTGCCAATCGGCGGACGATGGTCGGCGCGTCATGGGGCAAAGTCACCGGCCAGTTCCGCCAAACTCGCTTCGGCGAGTGGTTCAGCCGCCTGATCATCAGGCTGAGCTGTTCAGACTTCTCTTGCAAAACGTCATGCCTGACAGCGACAACGACTGGTGAAAGGTGCGGTCGGTCTCGCCGTATCGCTTCGCTTCGGGTTCAGTTGTTCACGAAGCGGTTGGGGAGGACCTGTCTCGTCGGATGCCCCCCATGCGGCAGCTTCGGTCCAAATGCGGATTCGGTGTGGTCATTTGCAGGTCCCACAGATTCTGGGCGCATCTCCAGAAGGACTTCGTTTGCGTTTGTCTCTCCTCAACACAAAGGGTTTCTCTGGAGGCCTCCGCCCTTGGGCGCAGGA